AATAAAAACCGCCAATATGATTGAAGACTAGCATAGACTGTACGGAAACAAGACCATGAAGGATGTTGGCTTGTTAACGCCCATTAATATTTAAGATTATATATTTTGGGGCCATATATTGTCATCCTCTGATCCTTTTGTCTTGTACTTGATATTAAAAAAGACTTCTTTATTTTATTTTTATGACAGCATGCTTTGGGGCTATTTTTTGTTAGGCTTGTCAATAAATCAAATTCCATTCATGTATTTTGAAGATAGTCCGTTATATGAAACGTATCATGATCTTATAACCAGCGAAAGAACTGCTGCCAGTTTCGTGAGTTAAACTTTGGTGTAATGCCATTTTCTAAGCTTCCTACTCGAGAGATGATAAAAATAACACGTTCCTCGATGTTTATTTGCCGTTTGAAGTACCAACTAGTTGCACTTAATCCATATATAATAAGGTGAAGTGTAACAATCCAATGTGAACAATGAACGACGAAGGCAGTACAGTATGAATTATGAACTACGGCATGCTGTAGACGCAAAGATTCATCAATAATATCATAAGTATTATAAATATATATATACGTATAATAATATATTATATAATATAAATATATATATGATATAAATGATATATATAATACCAAAGAATAACACTACTGAGATATGTTGGGTTGCTCAAACTTCCATCCTATTTCTTTTGCTTTTCAACATCAAAGCGAGTTCGAACGCAAGTTAATGACTAAAATATATAGCTCAAGGCCGTATGGGCGTGAGGTAAGCTCTTGGATTCGTTAAGCTCGTGTCTCTTTCAAATCACTAGTTCAGGATAACTGGACACTAGCAACTTGCTTACTAACTACATAGTCAGTCTCATAGTTTTCAACCCAATTATTTAACTACCCTTGCAGAATCCGTAAACTTTGCTTAATTTGTGGTGATATATTGAATGTTCACTCAAAAAGGTCTCGTCTTCGTTGATAGCAACAAACTAAAAAGTCAAAAATCTATGGGCTAGGTCCTCATCAGTATAATATTGCGAAGCAAGAGAGCGCACGATCAACACATCACATATTAATTTAAAGGAGATAAAGTAGTCTTTTTTTTTTAAATTATTATATCCAAGAAACACTTTTTGAGGTTAACTAATTGATGACTTTGTCAATATGTTGTAAACTTAGGCCTAACAACAGTTCTGATTTAAAACTAAAGTTGGTATCCTATTAAGGGCGGCTTCGAATAATTACTTGGACTTGGGTCTAAATCTCCATCATGGCATCATCTCACATTTTATTAGAACCTAATAGTGATTAATTTAGGGGGTGCACCTAATGTTGTATTATAAGTCTATAATACCTTGTCATCTTCCTGTTTTTTTGTATCTTAATTAAATTGAAGCGTTAAATACCTAGGATCCTCGTTTTCTATATATATTGGTGTTTATCTTTTATCTTATGATGCATTAAACTACTCCCACTAAACAAATGGACGTTACCAAGCAAATAGACGTCGTTTGTGTAATTATTTGCTGCTTTTCAAAGAGACACGCCATTTCTTGTTCCAGAGACTAGCTTCGTTGTCATGGATTTGGATATCTAACGCGCATACAAAAATTACAAGGGTTTTCAGGTGGATGCAGTGCTCTTCATCCTCTCAAGTAAGAGAAATGGATCGGATCGGATCGGATAAAATTATCCCTGCACATTATACCAAAAGGAAGCGACTATTTAAGGAAACGTGCATGTGTTAATTAAGGACTATTAAGAGGAGTAATAGGCGAGAGTCTAAATGACAAGAAGCTAGCTAGCTAATCTATTACTTGGATAGAAACACGGAATTTAGCATGTTGCCAAATCTTCGAAGAATATTAACTCCACTTATTGTGATATAGTTTTGAATCTGGTTAGCATCAACGTGTTACTTTAAGGATATAATGTTTTTATTGCCTTTATTGTGCACTTAAGTTGTGATTTTATTATAGTATGAATACAAATAAATGCAGATATGTACCCATAATGATATACTCGCATTTTTTATTTTTTTTTGTTTTTTTTTCTCTTTCAGAAAAGCTCATGTCTGGTAAATTTCTTCACATCACTGTCTACAAAAGTTTAAAACATCATACGGAGAACATTGCGTTTAAAAGAAACCATCTTTCAATAAAAAAAAAAATAATAAAAATAAAAGAAAGAAAGAAAGAAACATATCTCTAGTTGTATATCGTGCACAAATAAAAGGATAAAGAATTTACTGGCATATCTACGTGGGCGCACTTTAAAAAGATTGCAATTGCTTAATGCAGCATGAATTATACCCAAAAAATATTTCAAATAAGCAATTATGATGAGTATCATTATTGACGAATTAGGACGATATTCATATCTACGACCATGACTCCTTTTGCAGTAAATTTAAGAACAACAGGTAAATTAAAGTTATAAACATATGATTCCGAGTTTCAATTATAAAGCTATTTTGTGAAATTCATGTTAAAAATTTACGCAAATTAAAGAAATAACGTTTTTGAACGAAAATTTATTTAATTCAGTTCTCAAGATCGCTTGCACGATAGAAATATGCTCCCAAATTATTATGGAAAGACTTGGGACACCTCCAAATTCAAATTATAAGATTCTAAAATTTTCACATTATACTAACATCGAAAAAAAAAAGTCCAAAACCAAATAAACATCTAAAAACATGCAGGGAAAAGAAAAAAAAAAAAAAACTTCATGCCTAATTAATCTTAACTCACTAACTCTCTAAAGCTTAAGAGATAAATCCAACTTTTGAACTTCCTCCCTCCTTTCACCATTCAAACTATTCCCTCCTCCCCATCCAACCGGCATCTGCAATCCATTAAACCGGGCCGGACCTGAATCCGCCACCGCCCGTCCAAAACCTGAAACCGGAGGCCCGAACAACAACGACGACAACGGGCGACACCACCCGTAGCCCGACCCAACATGGTACGGCTTCTGGATCCTAGAATGCGCTTGTATGCCAAGCGCGGCGATCTCCCCCCGCAGCAGCGGCAAGCGATGACATCTCAGGGCCCACTGTGACCGAAGCGGAGGCGGCAGCCCAGGCCGGCCGGGCCCCTTGTTCGCGGCAGCTGCCGCTCTCGCTTGTGCGCGTTCTGGTGGCCGCCGAGAGCCTGAGAACTGTAGAACTTCCTTTTACAGTAGTTACAAGAGAACACCCTTCGCTCTTCGCTCTCATTCTCCGCCGAGTCCTCCTTCTTCTCGGCTGCAACGCCATCGTTAAAAGACCCGATGAGGTCTAGCTCGAGCACCGGGGTCGTTTCGTTGCCGAGGGTTTTGGTGCTTGATGAAGATTCAGAGAGGGTTTGTTCCGATTCCATGTTTCTGATTGTGGAAGTTGCTGTTGTGATTGGAAGTGGAGGTAGAGGGGGGAGGGGCTTATATATATATATAATTAATAGGGGGGGTTTTGGGGTTTGGCTTGATATAGAAGGAGAGTAGAGATTTGGAATTTTGGAGGATTAAATGTAATGTTTCTAAAAGAGGAAGGATGTATATGGGATTTGGCTTGCAGTTACGTACATGGAGCTTGCTAATGAAGAATCGAGGGGAAGAAAACTAGGAAAGATGAGTTGGAAAACTATGAGCATTTAATCCCTTTCCTTTCTCTCTCTCTCTCTCCCCCCTTCTCTCTTATCCTCAAATTCTCTGATCCTTGACTTTGTATACTTTCTATTTACATACAGCATGACACACCCTTTTTCATTAATAATTTGTTTTTTTAAGTTTTATAAGGTATAATAGATAAGAGCAATCTTAAAATTAATCTGCTTAATAAAAAAATTATTGTAGTACACAACATAATAATAGTTTATTGACTATAAAACAAACAAAGATGATCGAGGGAAATATTAATATACAGTTTCCTTGGCAATATCTTCGACTGTTTAGTTGTGGAATTTGGTTTTGCACGGTATGATCCGAAATTGGTGTGAACAAAGAACATAATATTTGCATGCCATACTTGGATCCGAGATATAATGGGTTGACATAAATTCCGTATAAAACATATAGTTTTCTAAAATAATTACATGCACGTATTTAAATTAATTGCGGAGTAATTAAATGGAGAGGGGGAGGGAGGAGTTCATGCATCGGCGAGTTTTAAGCGGTCAGATTGCGTGTGCAAGCTGGGGATTTGGTTAATGAAGTGTGTTTTCATTGGGAATGTACAGTCAAAACAACCTATATATTGTCTAACTTCACTCAGAAGCTAGCTTCAAGGTATATTAGTCAAAGCCTCCGCTTTGTCCTTCTCAGTGACTAGGTTAATTTCTCATTTATTATTTGTACTCATTTGTAGTCGTTATTTATTTTCAAATATTCCAAATATTGTGTGAAATTAGGTCCATCAAAAAAAAAAAAAAAAGAAGATAATAGGTCTGGTTAGTGATAATAAAGTAGATGGAAAAAGAAAAGATGAGGGGAGAATACTTTGACAATATTTTTGTTATTTGTAGATTCTGTTAATTTACATGGTAAAAAGGTGAAATTTAGAAAGTTGACGTCGATGAAAATTAGATAGTCAAAATGGAAATTAATTAAAAAAATCATAAGGAAAAAGAATAAAATGTTAATTTTCTCTTTTATATTTCATTAATTTCTTCTCCAAATTCTGCACGAATTAAAAACGACTAAATGTTGATCGATGCCTCATCTTTCACTTTTCATACGATTTTCAAAACTTTCCAACTAACATGAAAATAATAGAAAGTACAGATACTTTCAATGTTTGATCCGCTTTATATTTGCTTTAATGTTTGCCAAACATGCCTTAGGAGGAGAGAAATATTGACAACTTTAGAGCTAAGGTAGGCCCTGCGAATATGCGTTGAAAAAAAAAAACTAATGGACCTTTGTGCTTAATTAATATCCTTTTAATATTTGATAAGTTACAACCCAGTTTAGACTCCACATGCGAATAAAGTTTACTAAAGTTTTAAGTCAAAAATACACTTAAATATATAGAAATCCGTAAAGCATCAAATAAACTTGACTAGAAGCGCTATCGAAATGCATTATCAATCGAAAATAATAATATTCACAAGTTAGATATCAACAATAGTCAAAAGATACTATAATTGTCATTTTATATCAACATTACCTGACTACGTACCCAAAAAAAAAAACCCGAAAATGGTTCTCTCTGTACTATTCCACCAATTAATAACATTTTAACTTCTCTAAGCTGGATTATCGGTGGCTAACGGTATGTGTGGTGAATGATGAATAGGCGACAATGCTGTGTTATGAGAGAGTGTCAACAATTGTCAGTGCAATGTACATATCATAGAGAAAATGTATTCTCAAAGGATGTGATGTTGATGAATATCCTGCAGTATTGGCAACTTCATATTAATTCTCGGGTCTGTTTGGGGATTCAACTTAAACAGGCTAGGATTAATCCTTAAACTAGCTAGTTCTCTCCGGAACCAGTTTAACTAAAGTGGTAGTTTAGGCTGAAATTTGAACTAAAAACAAACTGAGCCATATCAAGTTTTGCTAATAAAAAGATCGAACACCCTCTCACTGGACCGGGTTCGAAGCTGGTCCATTTTTAAAGAGTTGCCAAACAAACCCCAGAGCACAAAATTTATCAACATAGGTAACCGGAAAATATCTATTTTGGGCCACAGTAGTATTCTTGCGGGACTCACATTCAACAATCTCTTTAGAGCTGTTGTCTACATTCATTTGAGCTTGTCCTATGTGGGACAAATGTTCTTCATTTCTTATGAAAGAGCATAATTCTGATGTTGAATCTAAGAAATCAGACAACTCAAATCACATCTCTTTGTCACTGAGCCAGGATCCTAAGCCAACTGAGATGCTATCAAAATCAATACCGAGTCCATATATATATACATACACACTACAAGCCTTAGGTTTGTAAATGGACCTAACCTTGTTCTAGATAAGCATTCCTCCCTCCTAAAGTCCACTACAACATCTTTTAGCACTCCTTCACCACTTCAAAGTTCAGTATCATGAACTTAGTAGATGATTGGCTTCAAGTGACATGGTCATCATTCTTGCAACTAATTAATGTTAAATCTAGAACACCCTTTGAGACTTGTCTATTCTAACTGGAACCATATCTCATGGAGATATCAATGTCAACATCAACTACATACAAAAGTTTGTTTGATACACACCTCCACTACAACCTAAACAAAAGTTAAGTTTAAGATCACATCACTCTAAAGTTTAGATATGAAAATTTCTTTTTCGTATGCATAATTCCCACAAACTCCAAATAACGCAATTTATTTACTATTATTCATTACCAACATGCTAAACTTTGATTAATATTGATTTATAACTTATATGACCCATTATCATTTTCTTATACTGGTTTAAACATAAAGTGTTGGCATACAAGTCCATATCACACCTAAAGGAATAAATATATAAAAGAAGTAATCAAAGACAAACCTTTTGTCAACAAAGTAATAAAGCGTGGAGAACATCAACCAAGCAAACAATTCCAAATGCCCTGCTCTCCTTCATCAAGTTAGTCTCCATCACAATAACCTGTTGCATATATATGCCAAAAGAGAGAAGATTGAGGAACACTTGGTACTATTCATTAATAAAAAAAAGCAAGGTGAAATCGAATAAAATCAACTATTCTCAGTTAAGTAGTAAGATTAGTCATATCAAGGCCTTCTTTATCTGCTGTTTATGCCAATATGCCAAGGGCGGCATAGTTGAAACAGTCAAGAGGATGTTAATTTTTGTAGAACATGGTGAGCTAGTGAGGTTTTCACGTGAGTGAACCAGTACTATGTTTGTTATGTAAGAGCATCTCCAACCCAAAACCCAAAATGGTGTAGTTTTTACACCAAATCACTATTTCAATCTCCAATCCATTACACCAAATGTTACACCAAAAAGAATATTCCTTTTATTATTCTTATCTTTTAACATTTTTATCTATTCATACTTCAAGAAACATACATCTTCTTTATTTGTATTATAGATGGCTTTAAATCAACGAAGTTCTTCATACACAAATGCTGAAGCCTCACACCTCTGCCATGTATATCTTGATATTTTTCAAAATCCGATTATAGGTATAAACCAATCTAAGGATCAATTTTGGTCTCGAGTTGAGAGTGACTATCATAGCTCAATGTCTGTTTTTATCACTCAAGTTCGACCCAGAAGATCTTTGCAATGTCGAATGCAAACTCTCTTAACTACAATAGGGAAGATGAGGGGATGTGTAAGACATGTTGAAATTTTAAATCCAAGCGGTGCGTCTGAACAAGATATTGTAAGTGTTATTTGTTACATATATTTTTGAGATTTAATTTATGATTGAATTTTAACTTTATATATTTATATCATTTTGCAGTTCAATTAGGCTAAAGTGTTGTTTGCTCAGGATAAGAATTATAAGAAGGGATTCAAAGTCGATCATGTATGGCCCATCTTGAAAGATATCAAAAAATTTGCAGATGTTAAAGCTGGAATTCAAGTGAGACGTATGCAACATGGTAACTTTGCATCATCACAATCAGAGTACTCTCCCACTTCAGAGTCTCCCACACCAGCATCTCCTAGATTGGCTTCATTCGGTTTTAATATGAATGACAATGATTTTGGTGGTACTTCAACTGAAAGACCAATAGGGGTACGGAAAGCAAAATTTAAAAAGAGAAATGATAAATAAAGTTATAAGTTTATGGAGTATATGAAAGAAGAGAATCAAAAAATTGTTGCAATGATGGAAAAAAATAATGCTGATAGACAACTAAATTATGAAATCCAAATGTTAGAGCTCAAACTGCGGTAAAAAAAGTGGACGTGGATGAATTACGAGAAGAAAATTTAATTTTACTGAAAGATTTGACACAAGTAACTAATCCAAAAATACATGAGTTTCTTGTACAAGAACAATCAAGAATTATGCATAAAAGAACTAAACAATGTGAAGGATCTCCTACATGAGTTTCTTGTACAAGAACAATCAAGAATTATGCATAAAAGAACTAAACAATGTGAAGGATCTCAAAATACCGGTTCGTACAAGAACAATCAAGAATTATGCATAAAAGAACTAAACAATGTGAAGGATCTCAAAATACCGGTTCTGATACTTTTGCCCAATATTTCGAGCATCTTCGTCCTTCTGATGATATTTTCCCAGAATACTGAAATGTTGTTTTAGTTTGATCTCAAATAATGATAAAATGGACCTCTGATCCTTCGAATAGCTCCCTCTTTAAGCTGGAGTTCACCAAGAGCTGCTAGTCCTCCTCTGAAATTCATGGTTCACTCTCCAATTTGACAGCACATCGCCTCTAATTTTCAGATCCTGTGAATAGGGGCCCTAAGCTTGTATTTATAGGCTTCGATTGTAGCGTTTTGAGAAAAGAACCAAAGATTTGGCCTCATCTTCAGATAACAACAGCCAAATCATGTTTAAGGATGATATTCAAGCAGTTGAGAGGCTTTGGAACGAACAAATCCCAAGAAAATAATTGAAAACACGTTTTGAAGATTTCAGATATGATTCACGTCAATGTGACCCGTTGGCTTGCGCGTCACCTTAAGGTGACGCGGCAAGATTTGGCCTCATCTTCAGATAACAACAGCCAAATCATGTTTAAGGATGATATTCAAGCAGTTGAGAGGCTTTGGAACGAACAAATCCCAAGAAAATAATTGAAAACACGTTTTGAAGATTTCAGATATGATTCACGTCAATGTGACCCGTTGGCTTGCGCGTCACCTTAAGGTGACGCGGCCTTGTGCGGGTCAGGGTCACCTTAAGGTGACCCGCTCGTGCACGGGTCACCTTAAATTGACTCGCACTTGCGCGGGTCACCTTAGGGTGACCCGCATGCGAGTCATTCTAAGACGTCTTGAACCTTCTGACTTTTTCAGACTTGTCTTGTTCTGTTGTTTTACGTATTTTATCGTTCCATTGACTCGTACGTTCCGTCGATTAGCTTCATGCGTTTGTTGACGTCAAATAATCTTCTTTGACTCGGATAATGACGTTCATCGTCTTCTCTCCGTTTCAAACTACGTGCAGGAACGTATAGGTAATTTTTGACGCCTACAACTCAATCCACAACAAGTCGGTAAGCAATGCACAAAGAACACAACGAGCACAATCCACAATCCAAACAGTCAAGATCAATCGCAAACACAGAGAATTACCTGGTTCGACAAGATGCCTAGGTGCACGGGGAGAGGATGGAGAGATTTCACTATGTGAAGGAGAAATACAATGAGTTACAACTCTCAAACAATCAAACTAAACCTCACTAACAAGATCTCACAAACCTACTCAGACTTACCACGCATCAGTTTCCCATTGTTGTATATAGTCTTCCATTTGTCCTTCAGAGCATCTCAGTTTCTATCGTTGTACATTGTCTTTCATTTGCCCTTCAAAGTTTTGGCACCTCCATGTTTGTATTGCTCAGAATCCCAGAGCATGTACTCTTACATCTTTCTGCGCAAACTTTTAGAATTCGGATGGATTGTTCCATAACTCCTGCTTCGGAAAATCCAACTCTTGCTCCTTTATGTAGTTCTGATACTCCTAATTTTTGGATAACTAAGTTACATAACATCTATTGTTCGAAAATTTCTACTTCAGCTATAAGAACAAAATCTGTGAAAAAAATTAATGAATCAAGGAGTGATGTATTAGAGAAATTATGAAACTTAGATTCTCCATCGCACTATCCTTTTCCTATAGATTCTCCATCGCACTATCCTTTTCCTACTGTAATTAAACTATTAATAGAGCACAGCAGAACAAGCTTCACCTCTTAGCTCCAGCTTTTATCCTATTTTCTGTTAAGGTCTATACTTTCCTCATATTCTTTACTTTGTTTAGGTTCTTTCTAAGGCCATGATCAGCTTATACTGAACCTGTCAATGTTCTAAGCATTCCAAATTTCATTTCAATAAACGATCATATAAGTCATGCTTTTCTTGATTCATGTAACACAGCACTACATGATAGTAACTACTTATATATAAAGAGTCCTCCAACTCGGCTTCTTAAAAAGCGAAGGAGAGGGCTTTAATGCTGAAAGCAGGCTACCCCAGAAAATAACACCCAAAATATCCAAGTCCTTCCAATATAAATCCAACTCCCACTAGATCTAGGTTAGAGATCTCAGGTGTTCAAAATATAGATTATCTCGTCCTTTCTCTTGCCGAGTGAAGATTGTTAATGTACAATTACAACTTACAGATAAAAACTTTGGTTCTGTCGGAAGGCATATAGAGGCACGAGCGCAACGATTTGCCAAATGAGCATCAAACAGTCGTAGTGATTGGTCTCTTGATAGTAGGTCCCCTTTAAATCGACCGGTACCTCTTGAAATAAGTTCTTCGATGAATGCATGCCTTGGTAATTCTAATTTCTAAATTTAGCATCAAACAACCATGTGGGGTGATGTAAATCTAGAACTTTTAAGTTGTCATCTAACGCGTATTTGGAATAAACAACATGTCAACCAACCAAACCAGACTTCTCTCTTACCAAATCAGAGTACAAATCTGATGAATTATATGTGATAATTATCTACATTTGACCAACCTTTTTGTTGGATTTACGTACTTTGAAGGGAAAACGGATAGAGTTCATCAACCACGAAGAGTACAGAGACTAACATCCAAGGTGGCAGGTTTGCAGCAATACGATAATATAAAAGCGTGGTCTCATTTGAAGGGTCCAACTCAATGAACCACAACACAGATGAGCACTTTGGATTTTATGTAAGATTGAGAAAGGTACATGAAGGGGACGAAACAAATGGAAGTCATAATTTTCAGTTAAATGAAAGGTCAGGACGACCTTAGAAGGAATAAGACAAACAGAAACGAGCACCAGAGAGACAGTTAATTTGGATTATAAGCCTTGTATGAGCAAGACAGGTTTTTTTTTTTAATTCCACTGTTCATTGAAATAACCACAGCGCATTTTTATCATTAAGTATGCATGGGATACTAAGCTCCTTTCTGAATTCTTTACACGTTCTAGGTTAAACACATCAGACGAGCTAAACTCGGTCACAAAAAAAAAGTGTTGTTAAAGCTCAGGATCAAGCCCCCACGAAAAACAAAATTCAGTTCAGACAATTCTGATACTAAAGCAGAACCCACCTTACTTGACACAAAAAAAAAACAAGGACTCAGCACGACAGATGCAGGGTAGTTCAAGCCTGATGCTAACTGACACATTCTGGCCCTTTCCACATCTAATTCGCAATCGTGAGAACTGCGTATTATAGTTTAAAACAAGAACAGCACAAGGAAGTATCCTGACTTAGATATTTCGTAGCCATCGCCAGAATGCTCTGTGAAGGTCATTTCGATGATGATACGTAAGCAGCTGTATGCGTACAACTTGGGGGGCGCCTTTGATGCGTGTTAATATATATCCTAGTGCATGTCCAAATTCACCATCTTCGGGAAGAAAAACTTAACTAGTGGTTTCGTATGAACGAAGAACTTAAGGGTTCACCAGGTAATGCAATAACAGATTTACAAAACCATCTTTCCGTAGGGTTCAACAAAGTGACGCAGAAGTATAACCAATCAGTTGTCAGTCGATCGAGAAGTTCAAACTGTATATACAAGATTCTGACAAGTATAGGTCGACTAAAACAAACAGAACCAGCAACGGACGATAAAATCTCTTAGTATTTTCCTCATGCCAACAATCTTTTCTTGGCCATTTAAATCTCTTTTGGGGGAAAATTGGTTGTTTAAATCCTAATTTCACTAATTGTATCACCGAATGTAAGAATTGGGTGGGAACAGCAATATGTGAATAAACCTTGAAATATGATCAACTCGATATTGTTGGGTACCGGCTTAAAACTCCAAGTCACGATGATGCTTGAAGACTAGTACTAGGCCCAATCCCAATTATCTTCAATGAGACCAAGTTAGCCTGGTGGGCAAGATAGGGACGTCTATAAATAAGATGCTCTGATATAGAGTTTTTCAAGGAAGAGGAGAGAGTCGCTATTCCTGTAATCTAGGCTTACCTGAGGGTGTAACCGGGTTCAAGGGTACTGTGAGCGTGAAGAGGACCTCACGGTCTTTGTCCGTCAAATAGATTGTAACTATGTTGGTGATAATGGGTTGATTTTGATCCTGTGGTTTTCCCTGATGAGGGCTTTCCAAGTTAAAATTCTTGTGTGTGATTTTATTTAGCTTCCCCTGCTGCTGAAGTAGATTATATAACAAACAGAACAATTATATTTTGTACCCAAAGTGTATTCAGGGAACAATGAACATCTACCCTTAATCTTAATTTGAATGATCACCCAAAATCTAATTAAACGTTAAAAATGATCGACAAGGACAAAAAAACAAAAAAAAACAAAAGGAGGATTGAAAATAAAAGAATGTAAAGGAAAACTAAGAGTACTTGTTTAGTGCGGCGTATCGCCGTCGTCGCCGGTGGCCGACGGCGAGAGAAGCGGGAGAAATGAGGCGGGGGGGGTTTTGCACTAACCGATATAAAATTAACGGGTCGGGTCTGAACCCGTTTGCTATCAGTTTAACTTATAAAAGCGGATACAAATCCGACCCGAAAAGTCACGCGGCTTTCACGTGATGATGGGATCTGGGGTTTCCAAGTTTTGAAATTTGGGGCTTCTCAATTTCTCCCGCCTGCTTCATTTGGGAAAAAAATTTAGGGTTTTGTTGAACTTCTCATCATTAGAGGATTCACTTATGGCGAGAAGGGGGAGGAAGAGGGCCGCTGAAACCAGCGGCGGCGGCGGAGAGTCCTCTGAAAGAGAAAGAGAAGGACCCGGCCTTGGAATTTAAAGAGCGACAGCGAGCTTTCAACAGTCAAGAAGGTATCTAATCTAACTCTTCGAGAGATCAATTTTTTTTCTTTCAATTGGAATCGAAGTTACACTTCAATGGGGATTCTTGACAGTTGATAGAAAAGGGGCCCTTTTATTTGGGGATTTTAGTTTTCAGATTAGGGTTTTGTTTGCTACAAGTAATGCGAGCCCGAGATTGTCTGAAATGAGAGAATTTTTCTGGTATGCTCCATTTTTGGGTAATGATTAGTTTATGGATTTGTGAAAAATGGAGTTATAGCTTTAGATCTCGTTGAAGGTAAGTCGTAATCATGTGAAAGAGAATTTTAGGTAAATTTACGAGCCAGCTAGATAACTTCCCATGGCCGATAAATATGAGAGTATCTTAAATGAGCATCTCAATGTGCCTGTGAAAAATTGAAGCTGGCTTCAACTTAGGATGAGAGCGAACATTTAAGATGGATTAGACAGTGAATGCCAATCAATTGTGTTGGTTTTCAAGCATGGATTGAGGATATCAAAGGTAGTGGTAGAAGACGTGGAAAGAGGAAATGACCCTTAATAGCGTTTGATGGAGAAGAGCTACTCATGTTGCTGAGCCTGAATCCATGTTGTGGATCGACGTCGTCTTGTTTGGCTCAGAAGCCTGCTCTAACAGTCTGATCTCCTTCAACTGTGCACCACCATGAACACAAAGGGGAACCCACTGATCTACCCTCCACAAGTCACTCACAAAGAGGAAAGGGGATTCGCACAAATGGCTGGACGGGAAGAGAGGATCGCGCAAAGGGTGAGAGCACAAAGCTCAAGTTCTCTTCCTCCTTCTTCCTTCTGAGCTACTACCAACCCTTCTCCTTAAATAGAGAAGGGGGCAACCGACACAGGAGAATCGCTAGGGCATCGAAGGGGTAAGAGCCGACCTACAGGGGATGGGCGATGGGACTCCAAGCGGCAGCAGCGAAGGACGCTGGGATAGAGTAGGGGCGGAAAGACTTAGGGTCTGAGAACCGGGGGCTAGGGCAAATCAGTGGGGAGCTGGGCCACTAGGTAATGGGCCAGCTATTGGGCCAACATAAATAGCAACAATCCTAAAATTGGAACTCTTGCCAATTCCCTTATTCATGAGTTGGTTTTCTGTATGGACAATAATGCAGGCAAGCAAGTCTTCAGCCGAAAAAAGCAAGATTCTCGAGATGGAGCTTTGTTTCATTGAATGTACTTCATCTTTTCTTCTTTTCTTGTGCCATTCATATTCATACATGGTGATTGCAAACTGAGTGCTCATTTATTACGAATTATGTCCAAGCAGCTATGTACTTTTTTCATAAATTTCACTTATTCGTTATCATCGTATTTCAATTCTGTCGTTACATAGTTTGTGTTTTATTGTTATTCACTGCAATCTTACCAGTTAGACAAATTTGAACACGCAAGAACTAATGAATTCATTTCATCATTTTAATATTTAATTGTCATGTTATTCCTAAATAGAATCAATTCCGTGACCATGTGTTCATCTGTATAGTTGAGCGTCGGATTGCTGCAATTCGAGCAATCCAAGTGGCAGAGGTTCAAAGTTTGCTCTCTAGATTGCGCTTGATTCGTTCGTACATCAGCAAGGAACAGCTTGAGACACCTGCACTCCAGTTTTTCCAGGAGAACTTGCCCAATATCTCTCCCGTAATAAACGAAAAAGCTAAAATAATAGAATTGAAATGGAGAATCACAGAAAATGATGGTGGAATCATGCCAGATTCAGTTGATGTTTCCAGAACACTGCAACTTGGTGGCTATATACCACACTCAGTGAGATCAGGTCTCTGTTCATTTTATAATGTTGTAATGTGATTGTTCCCATCATTTATAGAGACTGACAAGTTCTCACTTTGTTTATATTTCTTTTGGCAGTAAAGAGCAGCTACCTGAACATTGCAAACCTTCAGATTCCAAATTTTGTATGCTAGTTTACTTTTTATCAGTGGATTTTAATGAATTCTGTGGTACAATAATCATGGTAGCTCGTCAGAATGTCTGTTGTTTGAAAATGTGTCTTATGTTGCAGGTTTTGGATGACCCTTTAGAGGATCAAATGCAGGGAATAAGAGATTCTTTCCAAACTCCTGGGGTTTGTACTTATCTCTACCATATTATGCGAGATCAATTACATGTTGGCAAATGTAGACATTCTTGTGATTAGGGTCAATTGCTCATAGATCCGAATTTATTACCCCTGTAGTTTCATTGTTGCCCCTGGGTTGAACTCTTATTGATCTTTTACTATCAGATAGACTCTCTAATTTCATCATAAGGCAGTATCTGCCAAATTTTCACCTAGGGTAAAAATCGAAAAGAATTTAACCCAAGGGTCTATCTACAATAATGAAACTACAGGGACCAAAGCAGCAATATACGGGGGGTCTATGTGCAATTAACCCTTGTTATTAATGCTTGGTAGAAAGTGATATCCATGGCATGTTACAGGAGACTAGCAATAGGCTATCTTTTGGCATGACCCCGAAAACTTCAAGGCAACCTAAGAAGGGTGAGATGCTCATGTCCATTCGAGGCTCACCTCTGGGAGTGTACAAAGAAGAAAACCTGGAAGCCATTCACGGTTTGTTTTGTGCTTGATTCTCAACACGATTATCGCTAGGCTTGATATTCTTAATTTTCTTATTGCATCTTGTTTGTAATTTGCAGAGTCTGGGGATGCTTCTCATGGTGGTTCTTCTCAGTAAGCAGAGTTCTCGTTGTCGTTGTAAAGTCTTGTGAACTCTACTCTAGATATGAGAAGAAACTAAACTGACTGTATTTGTACGTAATTGTTACATTCTTACCAGTCAAAGTGGTCAATAGAATGACCCCAAATGTCTGTACATTATGTAAAAGTTATTGATGAATGTCGTGACCAAATTACCTTCAGTACTTTTGGCCTGAAGGAAAACAGAACTACAACTGTACTGGTTGATTGCTGTATTTGTGCCATTTATCTTTTGTCTTCTTTGTATCTCAGTTTTCGATGTTACTCTTCTTATTTCAATCTTGCTTTTGTAAAAGAATGTGGAGAGACTTCAATCTTGCTCTTGTTAAAGAAAAAGGGTTAATTGCATGTCAGTCCCTTAAATCAAACCTTAATTGTCACATAGTGCTTCACATCTCATTATTTGCTTATTAGTCCTTTAAATCAAGAGCTTAGCAGTCGGTTGGTCGGTTTTCGGGCAACTTTTTGTCAACCGAAACTGCACTGATCAGCTGCAGTAACTGAATTGCATCGATGCGAATCCGTTTGGTTCAGATCGGTGCAGTTTTGCACCGGACAAGTGGGAGAGGAACATGTACAAGAAATATGTCTTGCACTTGGATTAAATAGCATTGACCTACCAAACTCATCTTTTTATTGGTTGCACTCATCTTTATGGCCACAAATCATAGGTTATATAGTTCATAAAATTCTTAATTTTATATTCCATGAAATTATTTACCAATGAGTTTAAACAACTAAAATGGGCAAATTTTGTGGGTTTTAGCCCACTTAATCATTAATTTTGGCCTATAAAAGTTATTTTCCAATGTCTTAGAATGACTAAAAATGGATAAGAATGATGTGCTATAGCATATAAAATTGTGAATTGTGATCTTCGTGAAATTATTTATCAATAGGTCAGAACAAAAAAAAGGCTAGATGTCATGGATTATAGATCATGAATCATGAATTTTGGCTTCCGTAAAATTATTTTTCCATAAGTAAAATAACTAAAAATAGTCACAAATCGTGGGTTCTAGATTATGAAATCCTAAATTTTGGACTTTGTAAAATTGTTCATCAAGGGGTAGAAAAATCTAAAAATGACCAAAAATCATGGGTTATAGCTTATGAAATTGTAAATTTTAGACTCTGTGAAATTGTTTGTCATTAGCTCGAAACAACTAAAAATGGCTGAAATCGTGGTAAGGAACTAACAAAATACATCCACTGTTAGTTATGAAAGACTGAACTAGAACCATTTTCACAGGGAAACAATTTATTTGATAAAAGATTGGATGACCGAATCTCCCTCATATCTTCTGTAATTATAAATTCATTGAATCGAAATTTCAATAAATGGTAAGATTTTATGCATATCAAAATTATCATTATTTGAAAACCACTGTCACAATAGCAGAATTCTACGTAGACTAATATCGTCCTTTGAATTTAGAACATACGGCAATGATTGCAAGAATTGGAAACTCTTCCATTATTACCTTATTAGAGAGCACCCGAATCCCTATAATCCCGACATATCCCCAAGCATATGAGAAGATAAATATGGATATAATTGTGGGATGCGCCTGAGTCCCTATAAGATTTTTTTTATTCGATACTACTATATTTTGGCATTTTGTGCTCTTGCTAAAGTTTTTCCGATCCTTTTTTAAAATGGAAAATCATTTGATTTATATATTTTATACTTCCAAATGATAAATAAGTTGGTTTTTCACCTATTGTAACTTGTAGCTGCGTGGTTGTAAATGGTGTCATAGCTAATTTGAACTTAACGGCTCTTATGATTTTTCCGCAATAACCTGCAGTACAACATGCAGTTCAATATGCGGTAGGTCGCAGAATAATATTTTTGGTTTGCAAGCAAACTTTTCTCATAATTACATACGATATTCTGTTCTCAGTCTCTTTAAATTAGTTTGCGTTTCAAAGTTTCATGTTTTGTTAGTTTGCCCTTACAATTTACAAGTAAATCTTTTAGTTTGTCCCTATGCTGCATATATATATTCATCTAAGTTCGATTATTATTTGCCCTTACAATTTCTCTGGTGGCATTTCCGTTAAAATATTGACCCCGATTGTAATTTTGTTTAATAGGGACGGGCAGCTAACATTGCGTGCAGCGAGAGATGGTTCCCCGTTCAAAGATGAGGAGACTGCAGGCATTTCTGGATGAAAGACGTGACCGAGGTTCGACAGGCGGGAAGCATGGCAAGACGATTGGGAGGCTGAAGAAACCCGCGAGCTTGTTGAGCGCAAGCGCATCCAATGTTGCCAAGAAGGTGAAGAGGGGGTTTATTTTTGAATCCTCGCAAAAGAGGACTTTCCATGGAAATGATACAGGAAGGAAACACACATTATGACATTTGCCTTGCTACAATGTACAAATGTACAATGCCAGTGTAATAAGATTTTTTTTTCCCATTGTAATCATGCATTAATATGAAACACTACAATCATTAACTATTGCAATAGTATGACCATCAACTTTATTTCAAGCATCCCCTGCTCCAATTTACTTCGTTACCTTAAACTAGTGAAGAATACTTCTGTGTTTTATTCCATTTTGCAGAGTAATATAGTAAAGATTTCATTTGCAATATGATGAAAACCATGCTTTGCACCTTTGGTAAATTAGAAGGGAGCTGGATGGTTCATTTTGTATGAAGTGCAGAACAATTTAAGAGAAAACAGAATCGTTCAATTACTATAAAAAAAATTAAAAAAAAAATCTAATGCTTCAGATTTCCCTGTCAAACTTTCCTCTCCGTCTTAACAAGCCCATGGCAGAACAATGCCAAGTTGCACATGCATCAAGTCCAACCACTTCAAATAATATTAACTACTAAATAGAAACAAACCATCAAGCAAGAAAGAAACACGAGTACAAAGGGTCAACAAATTAAGCATCAATACAACTTGAATCTTACATGTAAACTGAACATAATTTATGAACTTGAAAGTACAAAGAACAAATCTGGATAATTAAGGACCAGTTAATACATCGACATGTAGTGCAGAAGTGGTCCTGATTCTACACAAATTCAGGCTGGCTAGAAAATAATTAGATCCAAACTCTAACCAGATATCAACCATGTTCAATTTTGCAAGCTTGAATCGTATATGAGCCAAGTCAAGGTAGGGAGACTGATACCAGCCCGAATTAATACTTTGTGATGTTCATAACAAGGGAAATCACTCCAATTAAGCATAATAGTTCAAGCTGGACTTCTTCTTGGCTTGAACTTGAATGATTCCTTCGTTGAAGTCTTCATGCATCACCTGAAGCACAAAATAAAACAGAAAGATGTGAGGTTGCAGCATGAAGAATGACAATTCAGTGAGGCATTTCAGCAAGATTTTGAAACAAAGCAAGCATGAATCTTAACTACCTGTCAGGCATTACTAATCATGATAATAATCTAATCATAATTTACATATCCTGATGGACCACAAAATTGCTGATCCATTTGACAAGTAGTATCATAAAACAAGTGGTACCAGCCGTGACTGCCGTTTATATTAGAAAAATGAGAAATCAAATTAACATGGCCACAAGCAAGTTGCCTAGTGTACATAGTTCATAGAACATGAAACATACTAAAAATTTGATCCCTAAACAGTTCTTAAAGATAGTTAACTGTATCACATTCCATGTGCAGATTTTGTGTCAGGGTCAATGTTACACCAAGATAGCTCATAAAGAGGTTCTATTATTCCACTCCTGAAATATTACAACCTCAGTTATGGACACAAGACTAGTTTTCTTTTTTCCTTAATATAGAGAAGAATGCTTCTCTAGAATCAGATGTTAAGTCGCATATGTGATATGAGCAACTAGTAATCCATGACATCTTTTCTTTTGAAACAGTTGAACATAAAAAACATACACTAAAAGCACAATAACATCAAGATATTACATAAGATATACAATGGTATGCTAAAGCCAAGTAGAGAGGCAATGCAACAAGAAAGGAGCTTTTATTGGCAGGTGCTGCCGTCTAACATAAAAAATAGCATACAGCTAGAAATGTTTGATATTTCGAAGAAAAAAAAGGTTATAGTAGCAGTAAGTTCAAGTCTACCGACCACGGTGACAAGAACGCTATGAGATTAGTTTCTAAAATCTCATGATCAAACTTTAAGAAGAAGCAACACGACATATGGTATAAACCAGCACAAGTAGACAGGACAAAAACCTCAGTTGCATCTCGACGGAGCGCGAGCATCCCTGCTTCTACACATACTGCTTTAAGTTGAGCTCCATTGAAATCATCAGTAGAACGAGCCAGCTCTTCAAAGTTGACATCAGGATGTACATTCATTTTCCTTGAATGGATCTTAACAATGAGAAGGGGAAAATTAGCAAACTAAAGACAGTGCACCATTCGCAAAAGGCAAAAGAAGCAATAATGCACCCCGAAAAAACAAAAGAGCGAGCGCACAAATAAAAGAATGGTGTTAGGATAGAAGTCCCAAACAGTATTGATTTTTCCCAACAGAATTCACATTCAGATATTAGTCCCTCATAGTATCAGGAATACTTGATAATGGTCATACATGAAGTAAAGAACATCCCCTTAGCTTTTAACTGCCACCTGGACTTTTACCTTATACCCTCTTTATCCTCTTCATTGGCTCCTGCTCTTTTTTTACAGCTCCTTCCTCTCCCAATCCTTTCCCCTTCATTCCTCCATTTCCTTTCTCCATTGTCACAACCATCTCTGCCAAACTGATTCAGATCCATGTTGAAATGTAATCTTATCTAAATGCAAAGGAATGCAAAGAAAGTGATCATGGAATTACATATATTTCGACTATATATTGTGCATTATGGAGGCCAATGGGTGATCTTTTGTCATGTGGAATAGGCAAGGTTTAAGATGACAATAAAAGAGAGATTATATAAAAGAAATAACTTGAGTATGATATGGGATTTGTGTGATTCTGCTCCACATTCAGCAAAACAAATTAAATCTCTCCTTGCCTTTCGATTTCCGTGCACTGGTTAAGAATTTGGATACATTCAGATTGACCAGCACAAGCTTAATAGGAATCACTTGTGTTTCAACCAACAAACCCAATTAGATCAAAGTATCTACATGCACCAGGTAAAATAGCTTTGATTTGGGCACTCTCTTTCTGTTTCTGTTTTGAGTTCCCCCTTAAGTTCCTTCTACGGATGAATTACCTCTGTCTAGAATCTTGAGCATCTACTTCCAAGGCAAAGGACTATGTCATAATACTCCAATAGCTCAACGACACAATGTCTAATGATACCCGTTAAATCATCGCGAGATAGAATGTTCATGATAATAACGAAAATAGAAGCTGTCGTCTTCGTGGCAGTCTGAATGGTGATGGAATGGAAAATGTTTAGGGTGGTAATGGGGCAGCTGCTATTGGGGGATCAGCACCGAACTTTTTCCTAGGTTATAAGAGGAAAGGAGAGCAGCCCAGTTAAGATAAAAGCGAAGTAGCTTGAAGAATTACGGACATGGATAGAAGGGTTATTTTATTCCCATGGTTTCTTGACCATAGTTGGCAGTTTGGATAGAAAACACAGATAGGGGACTTCTTAGAAAGTAAGCTATATACCGTAGGAGTACTAGTATCTGAATATTTTGAGGATCAGTATCCAAAGATATATCCTACGACCCGAAAAAAGAAAGAATATGTCAACAAAATCAAAAGAATATTACCTGAAGAATCCGAGCTCTTGCTTCCTCAGTAGGGTGAGGGAATTCAATTTTGCGGTCTAGCCGACCAGATCTCATGAGAGCAGGATCAAGTATATCAGCTCGGTTTGTTGCCGCTATAACCTGTGAATGACCAAACGTTAACAGGTAAACAAGACAACAGGTTACAATCAAATACCTGTAATGTTGATAAATTGTTACAAATTTCACTGACAATGTATGGGCAACTGTGCATGAATTATATGAATGACCACCTAGAAACAGGCAAATTGTTTTATCTAATAGAGTGTCACAAGTCCAAAATAAAATTATTCCGAGTAAAATAGAGGACACTGCCATGACATTGAGGTTTTTTAGTACACTACCATTCTTTTCCATAAACAATATGGAAAAGAATATTGTACACAATTTTAGAATTTGAAAAACCTACAGCAGAATGGCACAGGAAACAAATGCAAAACCTATAGCATGACGAAGTAACAAAAAAAATAAAAACCATGCATCTTTGATTCTTTTCCATAAATCTTTTATTCACACACATGTTGTACATGCAGAAAGAGAGAGAGAGAGAGAGAGAGAGAGAGAGAGAGAGAGAGAGAGAGAGAGCCCAGATAGGAAACATGAAAAAGACTCTTGGGCAAAAAAAAGAAAAAGATAAACACCTTTATTCGTTCATCGCTACTAAAGCCATCCAGCTGATTAAGCAATTCCAACATTGTCCGCTGCACTTCCCTGTCTCCGCTTACCTCACTGAAGCAGCATGGAAATGAGATGTTAGTTTACTTTGATACCACAAAGGGGAGCAAGAAACAGTTAACTTCAGTATACAAATGGAGTTGGATTTCAAGCATGACATTGCGATTTATCAAGTAAACATCTCAGTTATTAGATTAATATTGCCAATTCAAGTAAATTTAACTAAAAGGTCAAATCCTGATTCATAAACAGGTCCGCATGATTTTTTTTTTTCAATGTTCAGTAAACTGTGTAATTAAATGTCCTGCAGTACAGCAACATGCTGGAGATAAAGGCCAGCAAACAAATCTTCACTATATCCTCCTTCCCTCCATTTATAATCCTTATTTAGGTGACGTGATGAGTGTCAAAATGTGATATCAGACCTCAGACCACTTGTATAATGCAGGTTACTGGGGATTTATAGAATTTCATCACTAAGGACTGATCTATGACCATCCTATTTGCTTTAACGGTACGGTAGATTACTGCACTTGGAAAATTAACTAACTTTTACTCTGAAAAACATGTTGAAGGTGAAGGAGCCAAACCAATACTAAGTAATTGAGTTATGACAAGCACTGCAGGTGGCGTATCTTCTATTTTTCACATTTTCTTTCTAGAAAATAGAAGCATGACATGATGTAACCAATATTACTAGCCACCTGCATATATAGCACGCTTTGATAATTGTATAATGTATGTTTACAATATGAAATAAATTAGATATGCGAAAGTAGACATGCATACAGAAGCATAAAACAAGAAAGATGGTAACCTATCAAAACGCTTTGTTCCAATAGCATCAATCTCATCAATAAAAATGATACAGGGAGATTTTTCCTTTGCAAGTTGAAATGCGTCGCGAACCAGTTTGGCTCCATCACCAATAAACATCTGAAGAAGGTTCAAAATAATTAGGATAGTTGGATAATTCATGCTCAGACACAGATAACATATATAAGTATTGGACATCAAATTTTAAACTCATGGATTCAATTGATGTACAGCGTAACAGATACTAGTGGACACTGACAAGCAAACACATTCCAGGTACACAGTGGATATCACTAGAACATAACTCATGTGCTAACATGAAAGACAAGTGACCAATAATCTTTGAAAACAAATAGTAGCCTCAAATTAATAGTGATAAGAGAATCTGAAATGTTCTGCTGCATGATGAAACTAAGAGTTTACATACAACAAGCACTTAACAACGGAATGGAGAACAACCCTCTATGGTGTACTATAACATTAATAAAACATTGAGATAAACCTTTACAATAATTCAGTAGGAATTGTATATTCAGATACATATTGAATAACATATGAAACTAAATGGACATGGGATTCCATCAAAAAAATATGAACA